CGAATACAAACAGCTTCTAGCTGAATAAGAACAGCCAACAGCTGAAACATGGGAGGACAGTCTACGACTGTAATACAATCTATGACTGCCTAGATCCGACCTCAACGGGGTAATACAAACAACACTAAACCGACCCCAACGGGGTAATACAAACAACACTAAACGCACGAAACACTAAGAAAATAAAAACCCCAACAGGGTAATACCCAAGTGTCTGCTTCCAACAGGAGAATAAATTTGACACTCAGGCTTACAGAGGCCCAAGGCCCAGACCAAAACGACATCACAAACAACACACTAAATCACAAACCTATAAACAAAACAAACACAAAAACAACAACAAAAAAATCAAAACCAAGCCCTTCCTCAACAGGTATCATTGGACCAAACCAGCGGAAACAAGACAACCACATATCCCGAAGCCAAAAGCATCAACCCCGAAACTGCCAAACCCACTCGGGCGCCTAACTGAGAAGAAACCCCAACCCCGGGACCATAGAAGCCGACTCGGACCACGACCGCATCACTCAAGTGCACCAAAACGGGCAAAAGAATGTCACGACCCCAGCCATGACCAAAATCGCCTGGAAGTGACCCATCGACCACCGCTCCGCCGCAGCCTCATCCTGACCTGCCTTTCGGTAGGAAATTGCCGCACCGGCCCCAAACGTCCCGGAAATCGAGCACAAGGAGGGATAGCCTATGGTATCGTCGCCGCTCCGATCTCCCAGTACACGAGTCACCAAGAAATCGAGGCGTGTCCCGCCCCAGGAACCGCACACCGGCTCCACAACCACATAACAGATCAAGACAGAAAAGCCCCTTACCTGAAGAGACGAACCACCGCCGGAAGTATGAAAACTCACCGCGGCAAAGAAGCTCTGTTCCATAGAAATCGGGTTGTGGAGCGGAAAAGAAGGGGCGAGAACCAAGCAACTGTTGGCCAGCGACCGCCGGCGAAGCTCAACGGCCGCTGAGGAAGGCAAACGATGCCGATTTGAAGCGGAAACGACGACTGCGAAAAGAGGGTTTTTAGAGCGAGAGAGAGGGATAGCTTGCTAATTTGGTAGCTAAAAAATTCAGCTTCTGTTGTCATTGTGTACAAGTTTGCTTAATTCTAGCTGAATATATGATTGTACAGTTAAAATACTTTTTGATTATTGATCTCATAGTCTGTCGTCTACTGATTCTTGAATTTATGCGGTCAATTGTAGAGTGTGTGGGGTGCGTTTTAATTCTTAGCTTTGAGACTTCCATTGGTAAAGCTCACATATACTGCGAAAAGAATATCACATTTTAGTGCACAATAGATGAATTGGTAATGTGTGTGTGTGTGTATAGTATATCATTTTTGCTACGAAACTTAAAGAATAGTTTTTTTTCTCCAGGCAACTGTGCCAAACACTGATGCAAGTTGCGACTCAGCCGTAGCAACTCCTCAGCAGTCTCTTATAGATGCAAACAACTCCTCAGCAGTCTCTTATCACATTTTAGTGCACAATAGATGAATTGGTAATGTGTATGTGTGTGTGTGTGTATAGTATATCATTTTTGCTACAAAACTTAAAGAATAGTTTTTTTTTTTTCTCCAGGCAATTGTGCCAAACACTGATGCAAGTTGCGACTCAGCCGTAGCAACTCCTCAGCAGTCTCCTATAGATGCAAACAACCCTGCTGGGTGCTTATTCTGATCCTTCACTTTTTTTTCTTTCTTTTTTCTCTATCCTTGTGTATTTAAAATTGTCAGACCATTCAGTATGTGTTTTGTATGTTTTCCACAGACTCCTCTCGATTGCAGAGGAAACCTTGGCAGAGTTCCTTTCAAAGGCTACAGGAACTGCTGTTGATTGGGTACAGATGCCCGGGATGAAGGTTCGGTTCGAGTTATAAAAGTTACTCTTCCGCTCGTTATTTGGTTTATGTTCTCTCGATCTTGATGAAATTCCATCTATATTTTAATGCATTTTTATTTATTTACTTATTTTTACTT